GAATTTTATGTCTTGATAATTACTGAGAACGACACAACCGTGATGACGAAATGCCTCTGTATGGTACTAAATTAATTCGCAACTTTGCTTCAGTTGGTATTCATCATTTATTTCTCTATCAGGTTCACTGTATTCATTTCTGGAACAAGGATGATCTATAAAATTATCCTCATCATTTCGCTCCGATGTTTTTTCTCTCGAAAATCCTGCCAAGATTGCCTCAAATATGCTAGGAGAATTTTCAAACCCCCTCTTTCACTACAATTTCTTCTTAATCGAAACGTTTCGGCCGTGGTCGCGAAGTGGCAAAGAGCTCTGACCTTAAGGTGCCGGGTTAAAATCCTCTGGAGAGGAACCTTTGCCTTGTTTGCAAATTCTCTTGAACAAGAAATTACTCACACATTGCTTTGGCGCAACCACCCGATAAACGACAGTAGGTGGGTGATTTGCAAATAAGGGGTAGCATGATATTCTGCTCTGGTCATAGCGGAATGGATCAGTTTTACGGCCACATTGTCTGATGCGAGCGCAACGGCCCCTTGTGGCTGCACTTCGCTTTGACCCACTTGATAGTTAACTGTATGGTGTAATAGTCAGCATAAGGTATAACCACAATTTCGATTATGCATTAATGTATAGCCTTAAGAGTAAAACACAATAGCCACCGAGGAAATGCATATCGTCGTACGAGTAGGAACTGTAAATCAGTTTACCGTGTCTGTGTTACCGTTGTCTTTGCCAACTTTTCATGTAAAGAATTCTACTTTTAATTTCCCAATGAATAACACATTTGGCTTCAGATGCGAACAACCCTCAGGCTTTCAATTTGTGGAGTCAAAAATAGAGGCCATGATATCGTGGATTATTTGCTGTTATTATAATTTTGTCATCGTCAACCTACGACTGGCAGAGCTTAAACAGCTACATGATCCAGATTTGTGATGTCTGACTGAGAATAGTATTAGACAAGGCTGGTAGCAGCGGTAAGGGTTATATTCCTCCTTGCAGGGAGGTCTGCCCTCCCGTGAAGTGTTTCCACGTTTCGTATTATGGCCAGTGCACGGTTCACAAATGAGAAGGGTTTTGAATATATGAAAGTTATCCTTTAGGGCCGTTTTGTTAAGTCTAACCAAGCGCTGATCTCTCATTTCATCTGACAATTTTCTCAGACGCTCGTCGTCAGCACCTCCTCGTCCGTGATCGGGAGGTACCATCACTCCGGGGATACTTTACACACTGCGTTATTGGAAGCTATCATGCAAGCTCATGATGCTTTACGACCGCAGATGGTTCGAGACAGTACATAAGCACGGCGATTACGGCGATCTTCGTACTAGTTCTTACAATTCTATCTTACCATACGTGATTCAGCTTGCCAAAATTCGTTGATGTCAGCCCATTACACCGCTTCACTTCAGAACCAATATCGCAGCGGTCAGTCAACACAATCCTGAGATACTTGAAATTGTCCGCCTCCTCTATCGCAACACGATTCCATAGTATCTTCAGACTGAGGGTCGCAGCGAGCGCCCTCAGAATCCCCGTCCACCTGACCCTGACTTGTGACCCAACTCTCACAGTCATGCTGCACACCATTTCAGGGATTGTCAGTAGGCAATTTACGAAATCGGCATACTCACTATCTATCAGGAATACCGCCGGATATTTGAAGCTGTCAAGCTGATTAACGGTCAGCCCCTCGTTATAATTAGGGACGACGCCCTTTCGCATAAAATAATCCGCAGAAATTTTAAACAACAACAGAAACAGCACCTCGGCCTGAGTGACGGACTTTCCTGACGACGTGGAACCAATCTGAAAATGATCGTTCAGACGGCTTACTTCGTCTCTTCCTGCAGGCCTTCAGTCGAGTTTACTGTAACTTGTGGGATTCCATAATAACGGATGACGCAACATATTGTCTGGCGATGAACTACGTCGAAGGCTGCACGGAAGTCACACAGCTGATTCATCTACTGCTCGAATATTCTTTTCAGCGTTAAGTTGTTGTCCAAACACAAGTGTTGCTCGGGAAGCTTGTGTTTGATTTGTTTGCAGCGAATCATTTCTGGCCTCCTTTCAGGATAATCCGCTCAGACGTTTTCTCCAGCACAGATAAAACGGTAATCCTGAATAATTTTGCAATCGGCGCTACTCCCAGATCTGAAACTCAGGTTGATCACACTTTTTTCCGATCTTCCAAAAGCATTAACTTCCACAAAATCGATCCATCAGAAAATCTGTTCCCCAACGCACTTCTGGATCTCCGTAAAAGTCAGTTACCATCCTTTAATGTGATACACAACGGTGTTACACTAGTCACTCACAGTTTGAAATCATGAAACATTGTAATTGGCCGGATGGCGAGGTCTGCAACAGAGATAGTAGAGACCGTCATATTGCAGCCTGCCTGAGTGACACTCATAACGGAATTCCATCACCACCTTCGTGGCGGCGAGTCAAATTTCGACCTCTAACACGTGGAAAAACAGTTTGCTTGAACAGACCGATCAACTATGAAAGAATTCTCACTTACCATCGCCAGAGTTTGTTCCTCATGGATGCAACAGCTTTAACGGCAGTCATGACGACTGATGATGATATGGCGTAGTTCATTTATTCTTTTGTGTCGTTAAGCGGTTGTTCCAAGAGGCAGTCAACCTCAAAATGGACAAGTTCAATGTCTGAATGCCAAGGTGCAACAATTTTGAGTGTTCGTGCAGTTCGTCAACTCGAAAAGCCTTGCGGCCGCTCTCCACGGATTTCAGCAATAGCTGAAACCAAACTAGCACTAAGAAACTGCTGCGTGATGTTTCGGTTAGCATATGATTATGCCCCCTATCAAAATTATCATGGTACATCTTTCTTGCCACTGTGACCTCTTCATCATTTAGTTCCTGATGCATCCCGGCAGCCCTTCGGTTCGACGCAATCTAATAGCTGATATCGTTTGTTGGATAGTGCTGACTCCGCTTGCGGTTGCGAGTACGTGGCTTTGCGTTTGTGGCGCGGTTCATTACGCGCAGCTCGGCATCAACAGCATCGAAGTCCCCGGTCTCATCTCCTTGGCAATTTTCTTGCTTGTCACATATTCCGTCTGGCTGACGGTAAGTATGAGTTGCATTTCGCCGCAGCGAATGGACTTTAGGGTCGGATGTGAGATTTGGTTTACATATACATATAGCCGGACAGTGGTTTTCGGCAAATTTGCCCAGTGTTGTTCAAAAGAGCGACTCTTGTATATTGTTATTACTAGCCTTGACGTAAGGATGGAGGTCAGTGTCGAGAAAATATGACGAAATGTGCCTTCATCCGTCTCCCCTCAGAATGAAGAATGAGGAATAGGAGGAAGAAGAATGGAAGATCTAAGCGATGCTTTGTTGAAAGTCAGTCAGTCAGTTATGATGACTGCTTATCTTTTCTGAATGTGGCGGGATGCGTTGCAAGTGTTTCCAACGTTCCTAATCCTGTGTCAACGCTTGAGTTTCGGCAGAAGATAACCGAGTCTGAAGCAGAGCCGTTCCAGGCGCTGGCTCCATGTCCTTCTGGCCGTCAAGTGCATGAGCGACAGCTTTATTGTTGATGCACTGTCCAAAGGGAAGGGGCTGTTGTGGCTGAAACGTTTAACATTTTGCAACAAATCCGGTTCAACATCAACCTTCAACGTGGCTTTGCGTAAAATCTGCTGAATTGAAAATCTAGGGAATTTACGAGTTCTTAACGCAGAACGAAATTTCCCAAGTCATACTAAAAACTATTACAATCATTGGCTATTGAAATAACGAATAACGCAATCAATACAAGATATCAGGGCGTATTGCCCCTCCATCTTGCTTTTAGTTGCCCCAGTTAAGCAATCCATAACATCAGGGTGTTTGAGAACCCGTAGTGTCAGATCCATGTCACATGATTTTGCACAATCAACTCATCCAAGACCAAGTTTCAAAGCTTGTTGCACTCTTCTCCATGCTCAAAAATCTGGTCTTTGAGGATTCATTTGTTATTTGACATATCCGGTTATATGCACGGTGCCATTGAAAGCCTGGACCAGCAAGTGGTAATTTAACAGGTCCAATAATCATGGACAGAAGAAGAAAAGGATATAGGGCCCCAATACCCTGCGCGCCCTTCGAACCGACCTCCGGCGGCGGACCGTCAACCGAAGGACCAAGGGCTGCTAAGAATCTCAGAATGCACCAGGCCGTCAAAAACAAAATGAAATAGACCTAACCTTTCAATATGCACCTACAACTGTATATTGCTGTCGAGGGATGAACACATCTACCATCTTCTCCAAATGATTAATAGAACGTCTTGCGAGGTACTCGGCGTATGCGAGACAGAAGAAAGTCAGAACTCAACGCGACCTGGAAGGATGACAACACGGTTCTTCTGAGCAAAGGAGAAGACAGAGGAACATAGGTGGAATCGGGTTTATCTTGAACAAAAAGTGGTCTCTACGAACACTTTCCTGACGCTTTAGTTCTAGATTCAAACAAGACCCTCAAAATCATTTAAATCTATGCCCTCATTATGGGGTTGAAGAATTCTATGCGAAGCACGAATCAACTCCCATCATCAAGGCTACCTATATGGTAGTGATGAGCGATTTCAGAGCAAAATTTGGTTGAGGGAGTGGGGAAGCCGGAGAGAAGCACATTGGCAGGTTTGGCATAGGAAAGCGAAACAACAGAGGTGATAGAATGGTAGGTCAGCAAACTGTTCGTCGGTAACACCTGGTTCCCGAAAAAAAATGGGACAGAGATGGACATGGAACACACCAAACGCAGGTGCAAAACATGAATTCGACTATATTTTGGTCGATACGCAGCGCATTTTGAAGGACGTATCCGTCCCCCTCGTTCAAAAATGGAAGCGATCACCGCATACTGAGGGCATGAACGCACATAATTTCGGCTGTGGAACGAAAGGATGCACGGAGATCGACGAAGCAGACATGGAGCGGCAAGTCGGAACTTCTGACTGGACCGTGACGGCAAGCATTGAACTAGAATACCAAATTTTTATTCAGAGGTTCCTTCGGTGCTCAGGAAGAGCCGAACATGCTCAGCCTCGAAGACTGGATTCGGGTAACGAAACAACTGCTAGAGAAGAGAAAAACCATGAAAGGGATAAAAGTCAGGAATGCAGAGTACAGCAACACTCGAAATGCGAACCGCAAAGAAACAAATTCTGCTGATGAGTGAAGTAAGAAATGCAACCTTCCAGATGAAAAGTGAATGAGCTCCTAGTAACGACATTACAAGCATTGAGATCATGAAAGCCGGGCACTCACCGCTAGATTGATTGCTTGATTGACCGCCTGACTGAGCTCTTCAATGCCTGTCTCGAGATGGTGTTCTACAAATTGAACTGGAATGACGGTCTGAACATCAACGGAAGGGCGAACAGCAGAATCATCTACGCTACGCAGACAACATAGTACTTATCGCAAAAGATAGTCCAGAAATGAAAGAGATGCTGCTAGAGCTTAACGAACAAAGTAAAGAAGTGGGTCTTCAAATGCACCGAAAATGAAGGTGATGCAAAGTGTCGGCATTTTCAAGGCCAATTTGTAGGTAGATGGTGCGGATTTGGAAGAAATCAATAACTGTGTGCACTTGGGCCAAGAATTGAATATGCGCCATGATCTTCTACCGGAGATTATATGTCGATGGTCTGCCGGATGGCGCAGATTCTATACCATAATCGATGTCCTCAAAGTATCAGACCAGAAAGCCAGTGTTCGCCTGTTAAACAGCGTAGTGTTGAAGGCAATGACGTATGGATGGGCACCGACCAAGCAAAAGAAAATATACTGACTGTGACGGAGAGAGCAGTGGAACGAAGGATGCTTAGAATATCTCTTCGTGACCGTATGGACAACAAACTTTCGGCAAAGTGAGTTCAGTGCAAGATATCGTGAGAGCAATGAGAGCAAGATCCGTTGAATAGGCTAAATCACACGTCTTGATCACAACCGAAGGACATCATGCATTGCCAATGGTATCCGAGGGAAACAAAACGATCACTCGGGCAATCTACGATGAGATGGCAGATACACGCGGAGGAAATGGCGGGAAGGAACTAGATACAAAATGCCAAGAACAAAATCGCTTGGCTTGATTGTGCTAGGCATGTGGGAACATCGAAAAATTTATACTGAAGTCGGAGCAATCTTCAGTCTTGATGAGGATGCACAATTCATGCATTTGCGATAGTGTATAGGGAGCATCAGCTCGAAACTACGAAACTTCGTTTGTAATGAATACGAAGTGGCTGTAGCAAATAAACTTATAGGAAGTATTTATAGTTTCCCTGTTGATACTTAAATACCATAGAGCCGTGGCGTGCTTAATTGACATCTAGACAACTGGGAGGAAGGGACAGTACAGTAGACATTGAAATGATATAGCTTTTGAAATTTGCTGATTATAAAAACTTACATTTTCATGGCTAACCTTTCAAATCATTTCATCAGATCGATTCTAGATTAAACCCTTTAAAAGTATCCTGTTAATGAGTGTAGCCACGCTCTAAAATCCCTTTGTTGAGTCGATGCTCGTTTAATAGTGCCTAAATGTTAAAAGGATGTTGATTTTAGGTTTCAATACGCTATCATTCACGTATTTGGCATGAGTGGCAGAAGGGTAACCAGCTGGTCAAGATTAAATTGATGGATCATACCTACACAAATGGGACGAATAACAGGCTGTTGAAAGATCGTCAAAATACGGATAACAACAACAACTCAATTGAAGAGGTAAAGATAATCACAATACAATCTGTCTCTTTAACATTATAAGCACTAAATGTAATTCTAGCCCTTTTACACGAAAGGAAAATTCGTACCGTTACTCTAGCTCATCGGTGTCTCATCGGCATCAAAAAAAACTGAATGAATCCGTATGCCCTGGATAAAAATGAACCAATCATTAATTTTAATTTGAATGTCTTTAACGTCATAACTGTTCGTCAACATTTCTAGTAATTACAAACTTGCTGTATTCTAGGAAGCGCAAGAAGAGCTGTCAACTTCTTGCTCTGTTTCACAACGACTGACTTCCAGCAATTCAAACCAGCAGCTAAACAATTTGCAGGTAACTCGAAGCAGAGCTGGACAATACAATTCTGCTACCTGTTCTGCAACGGATTACGCTAATCGTGCACAGAATGAGGATTCAGTGTGGCTTTAAGAAGACCTTCAATTTTACTTTCAAATACGAGAAGAAAAATAAGTGTACACAGAGTTTTATGTGAAAATTTTATTTTAATTTAATGTGTTCAATTCCTATTTGTATGATGACATTTTAGCAATTTTTTCTTTATATTTTTATGCAGTTTTTGTGAACGCAATGTAAAGTATAAACTCCGCTTTATGTTATGGACAGGTTGATACATACATGGAACCTAAAGATGCCAATGTCATTAACAAGTTTTGCAGAGTTGTTTGCATACGTTTTAACGGTGAGGAAATATTGAAATCACATAATAGTTTCATGTGTAGAATTTTGCTGAATGAAGCAATTTATTATTTCATTCCAGTCTCTTAATACCGGTGTCTCCTACAATTCCTGTGTCTCCTTCACCACGCGACTGTAATTCGAAAAAAAAACAGAGAATCAGACAGTAAAGTTTCAATTAATTTAGACATTATTCCTTTGCATTTGTAATCGTCGTAAGCTTGATTATTCAGCTTATCAAAACTCAAAACGAAAATGAAAATAATGGCACGAAATTGAAATAGTAAGTGTCAACTGCTGCAGTTGACGACAGTTCGTGATACCATAAATGCTTTTCTGGCACTACGGAATTTTTTCAGTCCTATTCAGTAAGTGATCGGGCTTCTGCTGCGCGTAAGCAAAGTTTCATGCAACATAATGATGCGGATGCATCTTTGCTGATTTAGAATCAACTTAACATCAGCGTTCCGCTAAATTCTACCTGTCAATAACAAATTCATATGTACTCTAATATCGCACGCGTATACTGCTGTCTCAGCATAATATCAAAAGTAATGCCAGTTTCTAAAATTGAGTGTTTCTTATGTGGGCAGGTGGTGATGCTGAAACCAACAGGAAACGGTCGCTTATATACAGCGGAAAGAACTTCGTCAGTCGACTGACTGACCGGTACCGATGTTTCGGTCAGTGTCTTAGACGTATTCTCGAAAACTGTTGATGTCATGTATTAATTTATGTACAATATTCTGCTAGGTAATCGAAGCAGTAGCGTCTTCATACTTTCGCTGACAGGCTGAAAATATAATGCTGTGTAGCCTCCGTCCAGAATAATAATTTATTCATGCTGGCATGAGCTAAAGTGCAGATTGATATGGATTGAGATGATTTTCGGTTTAATCCTTGCCGGAACTATCCCAGTTGTATCAGATAATTACTAAGCCTACCACTATAACAAAACTTTCTGCTGCCTATATGAGTTTACTTCGAGCATTGACATGAGCTTACCAATTTTAACTGAAAAACAAATTAGTTTCAGACCCATTCCAGTAGGGATGGATTTTCACTCGGGATGGTAGGTAATTAATTTTAATTCGATAAAATGAGTTCATGATTTGCAAGTAGTCTTAGTTACGGTGGAATGAATTAAACTGTAGGATTCATCATAGCCATGCAATTGTTGTGTTGTTCGATTTTGCTTCTATTGTTTTGTTAATTTCCCCGACACTTTATTTCTAGAGTCTTAGAGAAGTTCGACTCCCATTTTTTTAAAGGAGTTCATTTTGGTAAAAGTACAAAATATAAGATCATCTGTTATAATTTGTCCTGCCCTGCTGCTCATTTCAAACACCATTTTCGAACTATGTAGTCACCATCTGATGGCAAGAACAGTTACAGAAATATGAAGCACTCCAAACTGTAGAATTTCGACAGTTTTCTTGAAAGTAGTTTGTTCTAGTTCACGCATACACTGATTATGAAAATGTATGACAACTGTTTATTAATACGTAATCTATCATACTGACCTGTCCTGTGATGGACAGTACCATTATTTAACCTGCATCTTACAGGCCCGGTTCAAGGTAAAGGAGGTAGTAATTTTTGGTTGTTGTTAAGGCTATCTGCAGCAGGGGTTCGTTTGAACAAAAAATGGCCGACAACCTTTAAAGCGGTCCGGGGTGTGGTAA